TTTACTTAGGATAATGCATTATGTATTGTATCTTTGGTAGACATTTGAATTAGGATAATGTATCGTGTATTGTATCTTTTGTAGACATTAAACTTAGAATAATGCATCATGTATTGTATCTTTGGCAGACATTTAACTTAGGATAATGCATCGTGCATTGTATCTTTGGTAGACATTTTACTTAGGATAATGCATTATGTATTGTATCTTTGGTAGACATTTTAATTAGGATAATGTATCGTGTATTGTATCTTTTATAGACATTTAACTTAGGATAATGCATCATTTATTGTATCTTTGGTAGACATTTTTCTTTGGATAATGCATCATGTATTGTATCTTTGGTACACATTTGAATTAGGATAATGTATCGTGTCTTGTATCTTTTGTAGACATTTAACTTAGGATAATGCATTGTGTATTGTATCTTTTGTAGACATTTAACTTAGGATAATGCATCGTGTATTGTATCTTTTGTAGACATTTAACTTAGGATAATGCATCATGTATTGTATCATTGGTAGACATTTAACTTAGGATAATGCATTGTGTATTGTATCTTTTGTAGACATTTAACTTAGGATAATGCATCGTGCATTGTATCTTTGGTAGACATTTTACTTAAGATAATGGATCATGTATTGTATCTTTGGTAGACATTTTTCTTTGGATAATGCATCATGTATTGTATCTTTGATAGACATTTAACTTAGGATAATGCATCATGTATTAGTGTTTTTCGTAGACATTTTACTTAGGATAATGCATCGTGTATTGTATCCTTGGTAGACATTTAACTTAGGATAATGCATTGTGTATTGTATCTTTTGTAGACATTTAACTTAGGATAATGCATCGTGCATTGTATCTTTGGTAGACATTTTACTTAAGATAATGGATCATGTATTGTATCTTTGGTAGACATTTATCTTAGGATAATGCATCATGTATTGTATCATTGGTAGACATTTAACTTAGGATAATGCATTGTGTATTGTATCTTTTGTAGACATTTAACTTAGGATAATGCATCGTGCATTGTATCTTTGGTAGACATTTTACTTAAGATAATGGATCATGTATTGTATCTTTGGTAGACATTTAAATTAGGATAATGTATCGTTTATTTTATCTTTTGTAGACATTTAACTTAGGATAATGCATTGTGTATTGTATCTTTTGTAGACATTTAACTTAGGATAATGCATCGTGCATTGTATCTTTGGTAGACATTTTACTTAAGATAATGGATCATGTATTGTATCTTTGGTAGACATTTGACTTAGGATAATGTATCGTGTATTGTATCTTTTGTAGATATTTAACTTAGGATAATGCATCATGTATTGTATCTTTGGCAGACATTTAACTTAGGATAATGCATCGTGTATTGTATCTTTTGTAGACATTAAACTTAGAATAATGCATCATGTATTGTATCTTTGGTCGACATTTTTCTTAGGATAATGCATCATCTATTGTATCTTTGGTAGACATTTGAATTAGGATAATGTATCGTGTATTGTATATTTTGTAGACATTTAACTTAGGATAATGCATCATTTATTGTATCTTTGGTAGACATTTTTCTTAGGATAATGCATCATCTATTGTATCTTTGGTAGACATTTGAATTAGGATAATGTATCGTGTATTGTATCTTTTATAGACATTTAACTTAGGATAATGCATCGTGCATTGTATCTTTGGTAGACATTTTACTTAGGATAATGCATCATGTATTAGTGTTTTTGGTAGACATGTTACTTTTTTAATAAATTTTAACTCAAATTTTAAGATGGACAAATGTCTGATTTGTTGGTTTTCTGATAAATCCCAAAATTTATTGTGCATAACTTTACAGACAATGGGGCCTTTATGTGAAACTTGAAAACATGAGTACTGCAGGGCAGAACAGTTTATGTCAGTCCCATGTCAAAGTGACATAGATCTTCTTAAAATCCTTCTGATGCATTATTGTATTTATTGTAGTTTAATGTATGTTATTATTGTATAACATGAAATGTTCATGTGTACTTTCTTTCCTGGTTTGGAGCTTTTAAATTATTTTGAGGGTCGAACTTTCGTGGTTATATAGCCCGTACAACGAAATGTATTAATTTTCATGGTTATCCATGTAACTCCAGACTTTGTCGTTTCTGTTCCCCTTTGTATATTACATACATATTCAGTAGACTTCTGGCACAAGGTTACCGATCAATTTGTGTGTAACCTGGATTCCATGACACTTTTCTTGGATGTGGTTGAGTAAAGTTCATTTCATTTAAACATAAGTAGATCTACAACATTTTCAGTATTAAATTATTTTGCATACTTTTCTTTGTTGTTGTTACATAATCATAATTATACAAGTACAATGTATATACTTTTTTGTGTGCACAATTTTTATTAAAATAAACTTCATTTAATTTTCATATTTTTCGTTATGTGTACATTCTTTCGAGTTGTAGAAATGTTCGTTGTATTTATATTTCCTCAGTCTGTAAATGTAAGGAGAAGAAACTGTATTTGTTCTGTGTTAAATAACGTAAGCTGGAGGAATGTATGTATTTTATATATCCTTTACAAACTTTAAAAAAAAGTTATACTGCATAGAAATTGCTTTCATCCGTTCATATTTCAAACCATGGCAATTAAAGTTGCCCTCCTTTGCCGATGATCCATTTATCTTGCATCACTAAAACCAAAGACATTTCTGATTATTGGCAAATTTGGCTATTAGACTAAGTGTTGATATTGACTAAGTCACATCATTATCCTGTTATATTTGTCTGAGTTATTGTGTGGAAACTTAACCAATCAAAATGCAGTATCCTTATTCATTATATGAAAGGATTTTGATAAATACTGACCAATTTTCATCAGAATTGAGTCTTAATTGACTAATTAATTGTAGGGAAACCGTACACCACAGTATGCTAGTTAATTATGTATGTCTTCATTAATGATATTATACAAGCTTACCGAGTTTCATCAAATTTGAGCAATATTTGATCAAGTTACCTTGCAGAAATTAAACCAAAGTGTGGATTATAGGGCCTTTGCAACCAGCCAATACCTTTCTCAACTCCCTGGAGATTATACAGCCGGAGCTGCCATTTCGGCGCTCACAGCTAGCGTTCTACAATTCTAGCTCTGCCAAACCCTGTACTCATTTACAGCTGAGTAGACTGGAACAAGCGGAGTAAAGTATCCTGCTCAAAGATACAACACAGTGCCGTGCCGTGACTCGAACCCGCATCCCTTTGGTCATGAGCCCTGCGTCCTACCACTAGACTACTGTGCCTCCTCCCATACCCTAATGTATCCCATCAAATATTTTGACCGGGGGAATAAATACCCCCCTTTACTTTCTAAACAAGAGGCCCAAAGGGGCCTGAATCGCTTACCTGGTATTGATCTCACACTTGTAATCTTAAAAGTGGACTAATATACAGCTACAGGCAAAATATCTGTACTCGAATCATTAGAATCTATTAAATGATTTAAACATATGAAGCCTGTGACCTTGAAAGTCTAACAAAGACATTTAGTTGAACAGAGTTTATAGCCTTCCGTCCCAGCATGCTTCGGGCCAAATTTCATTACCCTGGACCTTTTGAATATTCAGAACGAAGTGATTTAAAGATTTCAACATATTTGATCCCTGTGATCTTGAATATGACAAAGGTCATTCATTTGAACAAACTTGGTAGCCCTTCATCCCAGCATGTTACTGGCTAAATATCATCACCCTAGGCCTCTTGGTTATTCAGAAGAAGTTGTTTAAAGGTTTTTAACATATTTGATCCCAGTGACCTTGAATATGATTCAAGGTCATTCATTTGAACAAACTTGGTAGCCCTTCATTTCAGCATGTTACTGGACAAATATCATCACCCTAGGCCTTTCGGTTATTCAGAAGAAGTTGTTTAAAGGTTTTAAACATATTTGACCCCAGTGACCTTGAATATAAATCAAGGTCATTTATTTGAACAAACTTGGTAGCCCTTCATTTCAGCATGTTACTGGCCAAATATCATCACCCTAGGCCTTTCGGTTTTGCAGAAGAAGTTGTTTAAAGATTTTAACGTATTTGACCCCTGTGACCTCGAAAATAGATGAAGGTCATTTATTTGAACAAACTTGGAAGCCCTTCATCCCAGCATCTGACTGGCAAAATATCATCACCCTAGGCCTCTTGGTAATTCAGAAGCTTCGTTTAAAGGTTTTAAACATATTTGACCCCTGCGACCATGAATATATGTCAAGGTCATTCGTTAGAACAAACTTGGTTGCCCTTTAACTCAGCATGCTACTGGCCGAATACCATCATCCTAGGCCTTTTGGTTATTGAGAAAAAGTTGTTTAAAGTTCTTTAATATGTTTGACCCCTGTGACCTTGAAAATGGGTGAAGGTCATTTGTTTGAACAAACTTGGTATCCCTTCATGCCAGCATGATACTGGTCAAATTATATTATTATAGGCATTTAGGAGAAGTTGTTTAAAGATTTTAAACATATTTGACCCTTATGACTTTGGAAATGGGTAAAGGCCATTTGTTTGAACAAACTTGGTAGCCCTTCATCCAAGCATGATACTAGCCAAATATTATCACCTTAGGCCTTTTGGTTATTCAGAAGAAGTCATTAAAAGATTTTAATAATTTGACCCCTGTGACCTCAAATATAAGTCAAGGTCATTCATTTGAACAAACTAGGTAGACCTTCATCTGAGCATGCTACTGACCAAATATCATCACCCTGGTCATTTTGGTTATTTAGAAAAAGTTGTTTAAAGTTAAATATTGACGCTGGACGGCCGGCCGATGCGCCACGGCATAAGGCTCAATTGCCCTTCGGGCAGGTCAGCTAAAAATAACATCGGAGGACGATGCTGATACGACAGGAACGTAAATAAGAAACGCACAGCGGCTACCCAGAATGAAAACCTCATTTACTACTTGATTTAAAACAAAAGAAGATGACGTAAGAGCCAGTTTGATTATGTGACTTTTTAGAGTCATATATTTGTAATATAATCTAATTTAATGTTCAGAAATCTGCTGATAAATCGCATGTATTCCTCCTATATATACTAAATAATGTTACATATCCACATATCAACGTCTAAACGTGAAAATTTTAACAAATATCTTTTGCATTTGAGTTTGGTGTAATATTAGAGCACGTAGACATGAAACACGTAGATCACTTGAAAAATAAAAACACTGTGAATTATATTTTAATTGTATACCCACGTGTATATGTGAAACCAATTTATGACAAGTGTCAATCAGACTGTCACTGTCATGATTGAATATGATAGTGTGAATATTTGTTTCATTGAAATATTGCTTAGATGTCAGCTGAAATCGGGATGCGAAAATGAAAATGGCCATTCAACACTTCATGATTTTTTTTTAATTTCACTTAAAATTAGTCTATTTGTGTGGAATTAGCAAATGTTTTTCTTTCTAATGTGTATTGAAATATATGAAAAAGTGTACCGTTCTGTGGTATTATTTGCCTACTCCAATTAAAATTAGTAGTTTTTTTATGGTATCTTTATGAATACTTAAACAGATTCGTCACTCTGGTGTGTCTTGAAGTAATTACCCAAAACCCAAGCACAAACAAATATTGCTTCATATTCTATGCATATTTTTTCAGAAAAGAAACAGGATCCCAAATTTCCACTCATTCGTTAGCTTCAAATTATACGTGAACTCGAAATAGAAAAGAATTCTGTCGGGCTCGCTCTATTTGGTGATATTCAATTCAACTAGGCTTCACAATATTGGTTTTGTGTTTGTTTTAAAACACAATTTTCATAAACAGGAACTTGATAAGTTTGGATTTATGCTGAAATTGGAAGGTTTATTCTGAAAATAGTGTGCCACAAGTTCACTCCTCACAAGTTCCTGGATCTACCCCTGGAGATATATGTTTGCTAATTAAGCTGCTTAACAAATTAATGTTCATGTTGGTATTTCAAACTTTTCAATAAGTGTCATTTCATCATCACCATATATTAATGCAAAAATAATACAACTTTAAAATTCAGAAATTTCATAAAACAAACTAATATCGTATCTGATACACTTACATTTTTACCTCATTAAATATCATCAGTTTTCTATCCAGGTTACTAGCCTAAGGTAAAAGCGCATGTAAAATACAGTTACACGCTTTTGAATTTTACTTTAACACTTTCAACAACATTTTTTTCTTCCAACACTGGGGACAAAAAGAAACGCACCAGTACACCATACTACCTGTGTTAGTTGGAGGATCGGTTATAAATGCCCTTTGACCATGACATTCACAGGTAACACCTCTGAGGTAATTAGTTCACCTGTGAATTCACAGGTAAATGTAGGTATCGTAAATGCCCTTTGACTATAGTATAAAGTGGTAAGAACTACAGGTTATTAACATACCTTTTAATTCATAGGTAAGATATTAAGGTGTGTAAACTGTGTATTACTATCTCTCAGCTAAAAGTTACAGTGTATATTGAATGTCGTGGATGCTGACACAGGATTAGATTTCCGTGATTCAGGCTTGAATATATAACTTTTCTTTCGGAGAATTTATGTCTTTATTTGTCGATTGATGATTTAATTCACCCATACAACATAATTATTATATTGGTTGCTGTCATTACTTATACTGTTTTGCAGATATGTAAAGGGGGCGTGTCAGAATGGGTACACGCAATGGACAGGACATCATGTAAGTCGCGCCACTCTGACGTCACAGATCATGTGACCTTGTACCGAGTTCAAAATATGCCTATTCAAGGCTGGTATAGATGAGGCATCACCTGGCCTGTCTGTCATCTGAGTACCGAGAGACGTGGTCTCAGTCACTACACGTATTATTGCATCAAACAACCGTAAAATATGAAACTATAAAAAATTGTGGCCAAAATCCTTTATTGCCAGGTACCTTCTGGCCAAGTATCATTACTCTTGGCCTTGTGGTTAATAAGATGAAGTTGTTTAAAAGTTTTTACATATTTGACCCCTGTAACCTCAAAAGTAGGTCAAGGAAATTTATTTGAGGAAACCGCACTCTGTCCTACATGTAGATACCTACTGGCCAAATAGCATTGCTCAAGGCCTCTTGGTTATTCAAAAGAAGATTTTTAAAGGTTTTTACACTTTTTACAATCTTGTGACCTTGAAAATAGGTCAAGGTCATTTGTTTAGGAAACCTTAAATCACTATGTCTCAAGTACTCTACCCACTGGCCAAGTATCAGTTCTCTGGGCCTCCTGGTTATTCAGGAGTTATTTACCCTTGTGACTTTGAAAGTAGGCCAAGTTGAAGGTAATTTATTTGATGAAAGTTTATAGCACTTTATGTCAGATATCTGCTGGTCCTGGTTATTCAGAAGAAGTTGTTTAAAGTTTTTATTTACATATTTAACCCCTGTGACCTTGAGAATAGGTCAAGGTCATTTATGTGAGGAAACTTTAAAGCACTCTGTCTCAGGTATCTACATAATGAACTGGCCAAATATCATGGCCCTATAGGTCCTCCAGTTCTTAAGAAGAAGTCGTTCAAAGAAAAAGGTGAGCTAAAAATTGAGTCCCTATTGAGCAAGTATGCTTCAAATGAAATTTCGTCAAAACCCACTAAACCACTAAGGACTAGTAGCATTTTAAAAGGAATAGTTGACCCTGGAGAAATGCTACCAAATGGTATAAGCTTACCTTATACAGCCTGTCTGCTGTAATCGATCAAACATCTCTAGGGGAACTGAAGCTTCTTCTTGACATTCTTTTATAGCACATTCTCGTATAGCTAATCCAGAGCTTAGGCCTCCCGCACACTAGAAAGATAAACAAGAGGCCAGAGGGCCTGTTTCGTTCACCTGTTTCTTTTGCTACATGAAACTGACATATAGGTGACTTCAGACCAAATCTGGTAACTAGAACACAAGACATTTTAACATCTCTTAAACAGTTCTAAAGATATTGTCGTTTGAAATTTGTGAAATTTTCAATTTCAAAGCTTTTAACCCAAGTTGACATAGATCAAGGTCATTTTAATGAGGAAACTTTATAGCAATGCATCCCAGGTACATACTGGGCAAATATCTTTACCCTGGGCCTTATGGAACTTGATAAGAAGATTGTTAAAGCTTTTAGCCCATGTTGTACTTTGACCCCTGACTAGCACTTTGACCTCATTACCGTAATAAAGAAAAAGATTCACACAGCTGGTCTACATAACATTCTTAAGTATTATGACTCAAGTCCAAATGATATTGTTGTTTGAAGTTTTTAACATATTTGACCCCTGTGACCTTAAAACTATGTCAAAGTCATTTTAATGAGGAAATTTTATAGCACTCCATCCCAGGTACCTACTGGCCAAATATCATGACCCTAGTTCCTCCAGTTCTTTAGAAGAAGTCGTTCAAAAGAAAAAGTTGACGGACGGATGACAGACGCCGCAGTACAGCATAAGCTTACAATTGGCCCTTCGGGCCAGGTGAGCTAATAACAAGAGATCCCAGAGGGATCTTGGCGCCCACCTTTGTACCATCTTCATTAGTTCTTTGTCAGTTCGATCTTTTCTCTTCTTTCCTCTAATCTGTCTGATTGAGTCATGTTAACAGTAAATGCACCTTGAGGTAACTTTTGATCTAAACTTAATACTGATGTGTATGAAAGCCAACCTTCAAAGTGAGTTTGTCATTTCACATATTTACTAGTACAGTACTTAATGTGAAAGAAATAGAATCGATCATTGCAATATGAGAAAGATCTGTTTAGTTCTTCTTTTAATCCATTTTGTTTTTATGATCAGTCTCAAAATATAACATACACAACGAGGGATCAAGGGGAACCTACATTTAAAATTTGAGAAAGATCCCTCCCGTACTTCCCGAGAATTAGCAGTAACAAACTTTCACTATCAAAATCCAAGATGGCTTCCTGTCAGCCATGTTGTTTATCCGATCAGTCTCAAAAGTTGCCCTGTACAGCTAAGGACAAAGGGGAACCTACATATAAAATTTAAGAAAGATCCCCCTAGTTCTTCCGGAGAAATAGTGGTAACAAACCTACACTATCGAAATCCAAGATGGCTGCCTGTCGGCCATGTTGTTCATCCGATCAGTCTCAAAAGTTGTCCTGCACAGAAAATGACCAAGGGGAACCTACATATAAAATTTGAGAAAGATCCCTCTGGTGCTTCCCGAGAAATAGTGATAACAAACTTTCACTATCAAAATCCAAGATGGCTTCCTGTCGGCCATGTTGTTTATCCGATCAGTCTCAAAAGTTGCCCAGCACAGCTAAGGACCAAAGGGAACCTGCATACAAAATTTGAGAAAGATGCCCCGGTACTTCTTGAGAAATAGCGATAAAAAACTTTCATTATCTAAATCCAAGATGGCTGCCTGTCAGCCATGTTGTTAATCCGATCAGTCTCAAAAGTTGCCCTGCCCAGCTATGGACTAAGGGGAACCTACACATAAAATTTGAGAAAGATCCCTCTGGTGCTTCTTCAGAAATAACGATAACAAACTTTCAATATCAAAATCCAAGCTGGCTGCCTGTCGGCCATGTTGTTTATCCGATCAGTCTCAAAAGTTGTCCTGCACAGATAAGGACCAAGAGGAACCTGCATATAAAATTTGAGAAAGACCCCTTTGGTGCTTCTTGAGAAATAGCGATAACAAACTTTCAATATCGAAATCCAAGATGGCTGCCTGTCGGCCATGTTGTTTATCCGATCAGTCTCAAAAGTTCCCCTGCCCATGCAGCTATGGACTAACGGGAACCTACATATAAAATTTGAGAAAGATCCCTCTGGTGCTTCTTGAGAAATAACGATAACAAACTTTCAATATCAAAATCCAAGATGGCTGCCTGTCGGCCATGTTGTTTATCCGATCAGTCTCAAAAATTGCCCTGCCCAGCTATGGACTAACAGGAACCTACATATAAAATTTGAGAAAGATCCCTCTTCTTGTGAAATACCGATAACAAGAATTGTTTAAGGACGGACGACGGACGGCGGACAACGGGCGGACGGACCACGGACGCACGGTGAATTGAATAGCCCACCGTCAGATGATGGTGGGCTAAAAATACCATAGAGAATGACCAGAGCTAAGGACTCCAACAAACTAGACACATAAATAACAGTTTAGTTGATTAGTTGATTTTCAGAAACAATCAACCAAATGTCATCTAAATCGATTAATCGGAACAACACTATCAGTAGGAGTCTAACAATCCTGCCTTGGCCCTATGAAGATTACAAGCATGTCAGAGCATTGTATTAACCATGTTATCAAGCAGGTTAGGATAAGTCTGCTTCGTCTTTGACCTGCGTCCTATCCACATCATCAGCTGGCCATCCTTATGACAGTAACCATTGATATGGACACCATAGGATACAGTTCCAAACAGACCTGTAATCAAAGTAAACCTCATCAGCAAAACCTTTCATGGCAATCTTTATTTTTAATTTTTTAATTCTGTTTAAATTAATTGTCACCCTGATCATCTTATCACTTTAGAAATACTAGAATTGTTCTATTTGTTCGACTCTTTTATTCTGGTCAGGCTATGAGGGCCTGTATTGCTCACCTGGATCTTGATGCCAGCAATGGTATATATGGCCATTAGTTTAGGACCTCAACCATTACAAAGTTATGGCCCAGGAGTCCTTAGGGCAAGGGGTGGGGCTAGATACAGTAGTCAATACTAATATCATGATGTGTTCATCTCTTGATGTTCAGCAATTGTATATATGGTTATGGGGTGGAGACCTCAACCATTTCAAAGTTATGGCTCTTGAATGAAGTTCAATAGGGTGGGGCCAGACCCATCAGTCAATTATAATATCATGACTGTATTTATCTCTTTGTGCCTATCAAATGTATATATGGTTATGGGGTAGGGATCTAAACCATTTCAAATTTATGGCCAAGAAATTAAGTCCCTAGGGGTGGGGCCAGACCCCAGGTCAATTCTTATATCATGACTATGTTCATCTCTTGTATATGAGGTTATAGTGTGAGGATCTGAACTGTTCTCTTTCCCCATATGTTGTTCATTATCCATTAATGGACAAAATCATATCCATGAAGCAAAAGTACCAGGTAATAATCCTACATGTGTCAGCCAATCTAAAGCAACAGATGGTGACTATATTGGACTTATCATGGAAAGGTTATACCGTATTAAACCTATTAAGGAGGCCTTTAGTCTAGAGGTAGGACGCCGACCTTGTGTCCAAAAGGTTGTGGGTTCGAGTCACTGCATGGCACTGTGTTGTATCTATGAGCAAGATACTTCACTCCGCTTGTTCCAGTCTACTAATGATCAGCTGTAACTGAGTACGCGATTGGGCAGTGCTAGGATCGTGGAATGCTAGCTATGAGGGCCGAAATGGCAGCACCGGCTATTTGCTCCCAAGGTAGTTGAGAAAGATATTGGCTGGTTGCAAAAGTCCTATAACCACGGAAAATAATTTGTAAACCGCTTTGAGACGACCTACGAACTAGGTTGTGATTAAGCGGTATATAAGAACCTCAAATTATTATTAATCATTATTATAAGCAAACCCCCACTTTTTTCAGAGAAAAAGGATAGATGTGCTTAATTCAAACATATCAAAAGTTGCTGATTTCACTTATCTGCCAATATAATCTTCAGTCTTTTGTCCAAAAACTAAATTGTGCCCTTCAGCATTCAATTATTTAGGCAATATAAGCCAGTGGTCTAGCATAATTTTCTGATTTAAGATTAGGCCAATTGTCTCCGTAAAATTATATGATTTGTCCTTCAAAAAACTGCACATATATATTTAGACTTACAAATGTATTCGACCTCTGTGACCTTAGAAGCATGTCAAGGTCATTTTTATTTGACAAATTTCAAGTCGCAACCCAGAAAGCTAGCAGCCATATATCACGACTATAGACATTTTGGTTCTTCAAAAGAGGTTATTTGAAGGTTAAGACCTTTTTGACCTCTGTGACTTGGATAGAAGGTAAAGGTCATTTTTGTTCGCAAACTTTGCTTGGCTTCATCAAAGTTATCTACAAGCCAAACATCATGACTCTAGGCCGCTCGGTTCTTCAGATTAAGTAATTTGAAGATTTAAAACTATTTGACCTTTGGACATTAAAAATTCATCAAGGTCATATTATTTCGCACTTGTTCGTAGTTGTAAAGCTCTATCCAAGGAACTACCGGCATGATACCTAATTTTAGGCCTTTCAGTTCTTCAAAAAAGTTCTATATAGTTTTAGACATATTTGACTACTTTGACCTTGAAAGTAGGTCAATGCCATTTTTGTACACAAAGTTTGTAAGGCTCCATTCAAGGAAGCAACCAGCCAAATATCAGGACAGTAGGCCTGATGGTTATTTAGAAGAAGTTGTTTAAAGAAAATATTTACAACGGATGGACGGACGATGGACGACATGCTGCGCCACTGCATAATGGACGGATATACAACCTGAGGCCCTAATAACCCATTTCTAGCTCTGCCCCTCAGCACCCCCAAAGTTAGCTCCTCCATTTGTACATTTTGGAATCCCTACCACCTAATTGGATGCTTCCAGTCTTTGGTTAAATTCCAATCAACATTAACTACTGATGACATAAGCTCATGTCAGTCCTTCAGGCCAGGTGAGTTAATTATACTTACTAGTAGCTGAACGCTCCATGGCTAACAGTGGCATATCAGTGAAGGTAGCTTTAACATCATAGGTCTGCAGATACATAAAGCGATAGCAATTAGCAATTTTGGATAGAAAGATAGGACTACATTAAAAGATCAGCAAAACTGTTAGTGCCCTGTAGCAGATCTCCAACCTGAACCACGGGCTCTGCTTATTCAATACTAATATATCTTCTCTGCATCCCTAGGATATTTCATGGAAATTTAAAGGCTCTTTATGTGACACTTGCAAATGACATGAAGATCAAATGATTTACACAGCAACGTAACAGTAAAATTGGCTATGAAGTTTGCTGTAGCTCATCTGTAATCTTTAAAGAACAGGTATCAGCCTATTGATTGGGGGCAGGGGTTTATACCTGAAACCAATCAAATAGCTTACTGCAAGTCTTCAATTTTGTCCAATGACATATTCCAGGATCGCAGAGAAGACTTGTATAATTGGGAAAGTGGATGTAACATGTAGGATATATATTTAGTTTATGTAACATAATCTATAGTCAAACCAAAACAATATGTTAAAAATGTTATCGCAGAAACCAAACCATCTATAAATGGTTGATATGTGACAACTGAAACCAAACAATGTTTGAGCAACAGACAAGTGGTAACCAAAACCAATTGCCAAACAACAAGTACACCAAACAATATGTACACCAAACAACAAATACACCAAACAACAAATACACCAAACAACAAGTACACCAAACAACAGTTACACCAACCAACATGTAAATCTAACAACATGTACATAAAAAACATGTACATCAAACAACATGTACACCAAACAACGAGTACACCAAACAACATGTACATCAAACAACATGTACACCAAACAACAAGTACACCAAACAACATGTACATCAAACAACATGTACACCAAACAACATTTAGGCCAACAAACAACATGTACACCAAACAACATGTACACCAACCAACATGTACATCAAATAATATTTACACCAAACAACATGTACACCGTACACCAAACAACATGTACACCAAACAACAAGTACACCAAACAACAAGTACACCAAACAACATATACACCAACCAACATTTACACCAACCAACATGTACACCAAACAACATGTACACCAAACAACATGTACAACAAACAACATGTACGCCAAACAAAAAATACACCAACCAACACGTACATCAAACAACATGTACACCAAACAACATTAAAGCCAAACAATTATTACATCAAACAACATGTACACCAAACAACATGTACACCAAACAACATTTACATCAAACAACATGTACATCAAACAACATTTACACCAAATCACATGTACACCAACCAACATGTACATCAAATAATATGTACACCAAACAACATGTACACCAACCAACATTTACACCAACCAACATGTACACCAAACAACATGTACACCAAACAACATGTACAACAAACAACATGTACGCCAAACAAAAAATACACCAACCAACACGTACATCAAACAACATGTACACCAAACAACATTAAGGCCAAACAATTATTACACCAAACAACATGTACACCAAACAACATTTACATCAAACAACATGAACATCAAACAACATTTACACCAAATCACATGTACACCAACCAACATGTACACCAAACAACATTAAGACCAAACAATTATTACACCAAACAACATGTACAACAAACAACATGTACGCCAAACAACATGTACACCAACCAACATGAACCTAAAATAATATGTACACCAAACAACATGTACACCAAACAACATGTACACCACACAACAAGTACATCAAACAACATGCACACCAAACAACATGTACGCCAAACAACATGTACAACAAACAACATGTACACCAAACAAAAAATACACCAACCAACACGTACATCAAACAAGATGTACGCCAAACAACATTAAGGCCAAACAACATGTACACTAAACAACATGTACAACAATCAACATGTACATTAAATAGTATGTACACCAAACAACATGTACATCAAATAATATGTACATCATACAACATGTACAACAAACAACATGTACACCAAAACAACATGTATAACAACCAACATGTACATCAAATAATATGTACACCAAACAAGATGTACACCAACCAACATGTACATCAAACAACATGTATGCCAAACAACATTTACACCAACCAACATTTACACCAAACAACATTAACACCAAACAACATGTACATCAAACAACATGTACACCAACCAACATTTACACCAACCAACAAGTACACCAACCAACATGTAAATCTAACAACATGTACATAAAAAACATGTACATCAAACAAAATGTACACCAAACAACCATGTTTGCCAAACAACATGTACATCAAACAACATGTACACCAAACAACAAGTACACCAAACAACAAGTACACCAAACAACATGCACACCAACCAACATATTCACCAACCAACATGTACACCAAACAACCATGTATGCCAAACAACATGTACATCAAACAACATGTACATCAAACAACATGTACATCAAACAACATTTACATCAAACAACATGTACACCAAACAAAAAGTATACCAACCAACATCTACATCAAATAATATGTACATCAAACAACATGTATGCCAAACAACATGTACACCAACCAACTTATATGCCAACCAACATGTACATCAAACAACATTTACACCAAACAACATGTACACGAAACAACAAGTACACCAAACAAAATGTACACCAAACAACAAGTACACCAAACAACATGTACACCAACCAACATGTACACAAACCAACATTTACACCAACCAACATGTATATCAAATAATATGTACATCATACAACATGTACACCAACCAACATTTACAACAACCAACATGTAAATCAAATAATATGTACATCAAACAACATGTATGCCAAACAACATTTACACCAAACAACATGTACACCAAACAACCTGTACACCAACCAAACACTAACCAACATGTAGATCAAATAATACAACATGTACACAAAAAAAAACATGTATGCCAAACCACATGTACATCAAACAACATTTACATCAAACAACATGTACACCAAACAAAAAGTATACCAACCAACATGTACATCAAATAATATGTACATCAAACAACATGTATGCCAAACAACATTTACACCAAACAACATGTACACCAAACAACCTGTACACCAACCAACATGTACACTAACCAACATGTAGATCAAATAATATGTACATGATACAACATGTACACCAACCAACATTTACACCAACCAACATGTACAACAACCAACATGTACATCAAATAATATGTACATCAAACAACATGTACACCAAACAACATGTACACCGACCAACATGTACATCAAATAATATGTACATCATACAACATGTACACCAACCAACATTTACAACAACCAACATGTAAATCAAATAATATGTACATCAAACAACATGTATGCCAAACAACATGTACAACAACCAACATGTACATCAAATAATATGTACATCAAACAACATGTACGCCAAACAACATGTACACCAACCAACATGTATGCCAACCAACATGTATGCCAAACAACATGTACATGAAACAACAAGTACACCAAAAAACATGTACACCAAACAACAAGTACATCATACAACATGTACACCAACCAACATTTACATCAAATAATATGTACATCAAACAACATGTACGCCAAACAAGATGTACATCAAACAAGATTTACACTTAACAACATGTACACCAAACAACATGTACAAACAACCGGGTATTTTATTTTCAACTTATAACCTGCTGAGTACCATACAGGTTTATCAAAGGAGTACAAGAAACAAAGGTGCAAGAAGAACTACATGTAAATCTGATTTGGTGGGTAAGACACCAAGAAATTGGAGTTTCCATCTTAACAACATGTACACCAAACAACATGTACACCAAACAACATGTACTTCAAACAACAAGTACACCAACCAACATGTACACCCGAAGAAAACCCACAGAAAAAATCAGAGTATCCAGAGAAAACCAACAGAAAACTCAGAGTACCCGGAGAGAACCCATGAGGTTTGGCAGGTGACCCAAATACATCTTCACGTCCAATCAGGGAAGTGAACCCCGGCTGACTTGGTGAAAGGCGAGTGGTTATCAAATATGCTACCCGACCACCCGATCAATAAATGTTTTTTTGAATATATGACACATATTGATCAAATCATTCCAATTATGCTTTTAAATGCTGACCAACTAGTCACCTAATACAAGTTTCTATTCCATAAGATTTATAAAACATTTAAAAAGCATACCATAACCGACCTCATCTCTCCATCCCTTAAGAGATATGAAAATATCTTTCTGGCGGAGGTCCTCTAACACTTTAGCAACAGCATCTGAACGTTCAGCAGCAGTCTTGTATTCAGCATTTAGTGTTAGACTATTCCGGTTAGATGTCTTGGATTCTTCTAAAGCTGACACGACAAATACATCCGGATAATGAAGGAGGTGATTCCAAACATCCTGATGAATCAGACCGACCTGACGATTGCCAACAAGAAAAGGGCGACATTCACTTCTTGATGAACCTAAGAAAGGAAACAATATATAACTGTTACAATATAATACACTTGTCACAAAAAATTACCACGTACAATATACACCTGTCACATACCATGGACAATATACACCTGTTACATACCATGTACAATATATACCAGTCACATACCATGTACAATATACACCCATCACATACCATGTACAATATAAACCCATCACATACCATGAACAATATACACCTGTCACATACCATGTACAATATACACTCATCACATACCATGTAAAATATAAACCCTTCACATACCATGTACAATATACACCCGTCACATACCATGTACAATATACCCCCGTCACATACCATGTACAATATACACCCGTCACATACCATGTACAAGATACACCCGTCACATACCATGTACAATATACACCCATCAGATACCATGTCCAATATACACCTGTCACATACCATGTACAATATACACCAGTCACATACCTTGTACAATATACACCTGTCACATACCACGTACAATATACGCCCGTCACATACCTTGTACAATAAACACCTGTCAAATACCATGTACAATATACACCTGTCACATACACCCTTCACATACCATGTACAATATACACCTGTCACATACTATGTACAATATACACCCGTCACATACCATGTACAAGATACACCCGTCACATACCATGTACAATATACACCCGTCACATACCACGTACAATATACACCCGTCACATACTTTGTACAATAAACACCTGTCAAATACCATGTACAATATACACCTGTCACATACACCCTTCACATACCATGTACAATATACACCTGTCACATACCATGTACAAGATACACCTGTCGCATACCATGTACAATATATACCAGTCACATACCATGTACAATATACACCCATCACATACCATGTACAATATAACCCCATCACATACCATGAACAATATACACCTGTCACATACCATGTAAAATATAAACCCTTCACATACCATGTACAATATACCCCCGTCACATACCATGTACAATATACACCTGTCAAATACCATGTACAATATACACCTGTCTCATACCATGTATAATATACACCTGTCACATACCATGTACAATATCCACCTGTCACATACCACGTACAATATACACCCGTCACATTCCTTGTACAATAAACACCTGTCAAATACCATGTACAATATACACCTGTCACATACCACGTAAAATATACACCCGTCACATACCTTGTACAATAAACACCTGTCAAATACCATGTACAATATACACCTGTCTCATACCATGTATAATATACACCTGTCACATACCATGTACAATATCCACCTGTCACATACCACGTACAATATACACCCGTCACATTCCTTGTACAATAAACACCTGTCAAATACCATGTACAATATACACCTGTCTCATACCATGTATAATATACACCTGTCACATACCATGTACAATATACGCCAGTCACATACCATGTACTATATACACCTGTCACATACCATGTACAATATACGCCAGTCACATACCATGTACTATATACACCTGTCACATACCATGTACAATATACAACCATCAGATACCATGTACAATATACACCTGTCACATCCCATGTACAATATACACCCATCAGATACCATGTACAATATACACCTGTATGTACAATATACACCTGTCACATACCATGTACAATATTCACCTGTCACATACCATGTACAATATACACTCAGCACATACCATGTAAAATATAAACCCTTCACATACCATGTACAATATACACCCGTCACATACCACGTACAATATACACCCGTCACATTCCTTGTACAATAAACACCTGTCAAATACCATGTACAATATACACCTGTCTCATACCATGTATAATATACACCTGTCACATACCATGTACAATATCCACCTGTCACATACCACGTACAATATACACCCGTCACATACCTTGTACAAAAAACACCTGTCAAATACCATGTACAATATACACCTGTCTCATACCATGTATAATATACACCTGTCACATACCATGTACAATATACGCCAGTCACATACCATGTACAATATACCCCTGTCACATACCATGTACAATATACACCTGTCACATACCACGTACAATATACACCCGTCACATACCTTGTACAATAAACACCTGTCAAATACCATGTACAATATACACCTGTCACATACCATGTACAATATACACCCATCAGATACCATGTACAATATACACCCGTCCCATACATAAGTATTCCACTTACAAATCCAAATGCAAACTCAAAAATGTACTAGTTCTAGGCCACAGAGGTCAAGGTCAAAGGTCAATGTCATTAAAATATTGTGCAACATGATCCAAAACTTGTGAAACTATTATTGCAGCTGCAGTGTCCTATCCATAGATGATCCAGGCTGCAGTGTCCTGCCCAAAGATGATCCAAGCTGCAGTGTCCTGCCCAAAGATGCTACTAGCTGCAGTGTCCAGTCCAAAGATGACCCAGCTGCAGTGTCCTGCCCATAGATGACCCAGCTGCAGTGTTGTGCCCAAAGATGATCCCAGCTGCAGTGTCCTGCCTATAGATGACCCAGTTGCAGTGTTGCGCCCAAAGATGATCCCAGCTGCAGTGTCCTGCCAATAGATGATCCAAGCTGCAGTGTCCTGCCCATTAATGACCCCAGCTGCAGTGTCCTGCCCATAGATGATCCCATATATAGTGTCCTGCCCAAAGATGCCACTAGCTGCAGTGTCCAGTCCATAGATGACCCAGCTGCAGTGTCCTGCCCATAGATGACCCAGTTGCAGTGGTGTGCCCAAAGTAGTTTGAACCGCTTGACATATTTGAACGCTGTGATCTTGAAAGAAAGTCAAGGTCATTTTCATTCGCAAACTTTGTTTGGCTCTTTCCCAGGGCATGACCAGCCAAATATTAAGGTTCTATACCGTCCAGTTCTTCAGAAGAAGTTGTTCTAAGCGTTACACATATCTTGACTCCTGTGACCTTGAAAGTAGGTCAAGGTCATTTTCATTCGCAAACTTTGTTGCGCTCCTTCCCAGTAAATAACCAGCGAAATATTAAGGTTCTATACCGTCCAGTTCTTCAGAAGAAGTCGTTTTAAGAGTTTGACATATCTGCCTCATGTGACCTTTAAAGTAGGTCTAAGTCATTTTCATTCTCAAACTTTGTTGGGCTCTTTTCCAGAAAGCTACAAGCCAAATATTTAGGTTCTATAACTTTCATTTCTTCAGAGGAAGTCGTTTTAAGCATTAGACATATCGGACTCCTGTGACCTTGAAAGTAGTTCAAGGTCATTTTCTTTTTTAAACTTTGTCGGGCTATATCCCAGGAAGCCACAAGCCAAATATAAAGATTCTATACCTTTCAGTTCTTCAGAAGAAGTCGTTTGAAGTGTTTGAGACATTTGACCCCTGTGACCTTGAAAGAAAGTCAAGTTCATTTTCATCATCAAACTTTGCCGGGCTCTATCCCAGAAAGTCATCAATTAAATACAAAGATGCTAAACCGTTCTGTTCTTGAGAAGAAGTCGTTTGAAGCATTTGACATATTTGACCCCTGTGACCTTGAAAGTAAGTCAAACTAATTTTCATTCTCAAACTTTGTTGGGCTCTATGAGGCCACCAGCCAAATATAAAGATTCTATACCTTTCAGTTCTTCAGAAGAAGCCATTTGAAGTGTTTGACACATTTGATCCCTGTGACCATGAAAGTAAGTCAAGGTCATTTTCATTCTCAAACTTTGTTGGGCTCCATCCCAGGAATCCATCAGCCAAATATGAAGATTCTATACCTTTTAATTCTTCAGAAGAAGTCGTTTGAAGTTTTTGACATATTTGACCCCTGTGACCTTGAAAGTAGGTCAAGGTCATTTTCGTTCTCAAACTTTGTCAGGCTCCCACCAACAAAACTTCGAGCAGGTAAGCTAAAAATGATCCCAGCTGCAGCATCCTGTCTATAGATGACCAAGCTGCAGTGTCCTGCCCATAGATGACCAAGCTGAAGTGTCCTGCCCATTGATGACCAAGCTGAAGTGTCTTGCACATAGATGACCCAAGCTGCAGAATACTGCCCATAGTAACCCTAGCTGCAGTGTCCAGTCCATAGATGACCACAGCTGTAGTGCCCTGCCCATAGATGACCCCGAACCTAACTTCAGTCGTACAGGAGAGGTCAATAGTCAAGGTCACAATGACGTAACGAGTATGTATGACGTAATAAGTACCTATGGCGTAACGAGTATGTATGACGTAACAAGTACCTATGGCATAACGAGTATGTAGGACGTAACGAGTATGTATGGTGTAACGAGTATGTATGATGTAACGAGTACCTATGGCATAACGAGTATGTAGGACGTAACAAGTACCTATGGCATAACGAGTATGTAGGACGTAACAAGTACCTATGGCATAACGAGTATGTAGGACGTAACGAGTATGTATGACGTAACAAGTACCTATGGCATAACGAGTAGGTATGATGTAACAAGTATGTATGACGTAAAAAGTATGAATGACGTAACAACAACCTATGGCGTAACAAGTACCTATGGCGTAACAAGTACCTATGGCGTAACAAGTACCTATGGCGTAACAAGTACCTATGGCATAATGAGTACGTATGACGTAACGAGTATGTAGGACGTAACAAGTATGTATGACGTAACGAGTATGTATGACGTAACGAGTATGTAGAACGTAACAAGTATGTATGACGTAACGAGTACGTATGGCATAACGAGTATGTATGACGAAACAAGTATGTATGGCATAACGAGTATGTATGACGTAACGAGTATGTATGGCGTAACGAGTACCTATGACGTAACAAGAACCTATGACGTAACAAGAACCTATGACGTAACAAGAACCTATGACGTAACAAGAACCTATGACGTAACAAGAACCTATGACGTAACGAGAACCTATGACGTAACAAGAACCTATGACGTAACAAGAACCTATGACGTAACAAGAACCTATGACGTAACAAG